ATAGTAAAAGTAACACCTAATCCCATGCATTTATTCAGTCAGAAAATGCACTAATTTTAATGCTTTTAGATAAGGATTTACTAATATTTCGCTCACCGAAAAATAAGGAGCTGACTTCTTGCTTAGCTCAATGGGAAAGGTTGGAAACATAAAGGGATCTGCACAAACCATTACTACAGACTCCACTAGACAAGCACACAGTTTAAGGACCAAATATCATAAGTGCAAACTACTGCTCAAATCTGTCATGACTACATGACTGAGTGGTAACTCCTATACAGTTACTAACCCCCACAAATGGCTTAACATTTCAAAGAAATTGAAAATTTTCAAGGTTAACAATGAAGTTTGGTGACTGACACAACTGAATTGCTAACTGGCAACCTTAAACACAGCAAAGAAAAAATTACCAGCTGGTTCCTCTGGTTTTTAGAATAATCCAAGACAAATCAACATTAGCTTTACTGATGTGCAGCAGACTTCTGTCCCAGCTTTGTCTGGGATACAGTGTACTTCGGATTTAAAGACGAGAATAGTGTCGATAGCATACCAACACTCGAGCTGCTGCACAGCAGGGCTTAGACTAAGTCAAGGACACTTCAGCTCCTCTCCACCGAGGAGGTTGGGAGGGGGGCACAAGGAGCTGGGAGGGAACACCACCAGAACAGCTGCCTCACCCTAGCCAAAGAGATGTCCCGTAACACACGGTATCGTGCCAAACAACAAAACCAAGGGGAGTTGGCTGATGGGCAGCCATTGCTCAGGGACTGAGTGGGCCCTGGTTGGCAAGTGATGAGCAACTGCATTGTGCATCATTCTTCTGTATATTCTTCTATCACAGTTAAGTTATTTGTCCTCCCTTTCCTGTCCCATTTAACTGTCTTTACATCAATCCACGAGTTTCGTTTTGTTGTTTTTTTTTTCTGATTGTCTTTCCCATAGCATCGGCAGGGAGTGAACACCTGATGGGTTAAACCCCCCCAGCTGTCCTGCTCTTTGTAGACAAGAACTGCTAACTCTGATTTATATCAAGAGTAACCCAGCCTCCATTGGATCTGAACGCATGGAAGTGTTGACAAGACAGGCCTTCAGAAAACATACACGTGTTTAGATCACGTTTGGTTGTAGAAAGAATTATTGCAGGGAGGAGGAAAGCAGTCAATGCCTTATTTCTCTGTGTTCTGTCTTCCCCCTTACTGGCATTTTCTCAAGTCTATTTTGCCAGACTATGACTGGGTAATGGGAAAGATCAACACTCCACATTACTCCTACTGGACCAACAAGAGAAAATTCAATCTCTTTGACAGAAAATCCTGCAGCAGCTCACATGTTTAGGTACAGCAGCCTCATGCTTAGAAGTAAAGATCTCATCTACTGGTTACCTGGAAATCTGGGGAGTTACAGAGGCATTGGGAATGTGGGCACCTGCTAGGCGTGCTTCTAAGCTTATGCTTTTCTCAGAGGCACAGCTGCTCTATCGCCACAGAGAACCAGAAGCACGTATCCGACAGGTGAAAACAGATGCTGGCAACACATGTGAACAGATCTTCTCCCATGACCCCAAAGGGCCTTCCTCATCCTTCTGGTGCTGAATCCTTCTCTGCTAGGACTCACACACGTCTACTTCCTTAAATCCTACCAGCAAGAGGACTTCCACATCCAGCATCTGAGAAAGAGCAAGGGGAGCCAAAAGCAGGACATGTGACCAACCACTGCAAAAATACAAAGACTGGCAAGGATGCAAAGGAAGGAAACCAAAACTGAGATACCTCCGACCGCATACAGCGGCGATTGGTGCAGCCAGGTATTGCACATAGATCCTTCCCCAAATTCTCAGCCTCCTGCCCTTTCCAGGCCGCCTGCTCACTTCTAACAGCCGTACTTCCATTGCTCTCCTCCTTTAATTTCAGAGACACATATCCTATTGTTTCCCAAGTAACCTGTCACCATCGTAGCCACATTCAGCTCTAACTTTACACAATCTAAACTGAAGGCAGATTTCAGCCATCGCCTCTAACAGCTTCACACAGAGGTTATTCCCATGGCAGCGCAGGGAGGAAACCTGCTGACCCCAATGCTTCCCAACCGCAGAAATACAGCATCGTAGGTGTGCTACAACCACACTCCATGCAGCTGCAGACCCAAGGCCAACATCCCCTACAATCAACAGAAAAAGGCAATCCTTAGGATAAGTCCATTATATCTCTGACCTCCCGAATCCCTGCGACTGGGGCTAAAGCATCGCCTAGGAATACGGGAAGAAACGCAGACGGACAGAAAGCCGTAGGCCGGCCAGGCGGGTCGGGCTCTGCACCGAGCTCCTCCGCACGGAGCCGGGCACCTGCCCGCCGCAGGCCCCACTCCCTCCGCCGTGCCGGTGGCGGCGCCACGGGGCGCCGGCTCCTTTGTTACCGCGGTGCGGATACAGAGCATGAAGGCAGGGCCGCAGCGCTCGGGCCGGGGCGCGGCCAGCAGAGGAAAGCGGAGGCCGGGGCCGGGGCCGGAGCCGCGGCCCGTGGCTCGGGCGCGTCGGGCACTCACCCAAGTGAGGAGACTCTCGCCCAGCTCGGCCCGCTCCAGGCTCTCCACGTTGAACATATCGGGGCGCTGCCCGGCGCGGTGCTGCCGGCGCTCCCTCCCTGC